TGTAAAAATCAATATTTGCGCAAAAGACGCAAACGATAAAAAAAACTTGGCGACTTAAGGATTAACGATATATGATAGGAAGTGTTGTTGTTGCAAGTTTAAAACAGGGTGAAAAATAAAATAACGCTTTCGCTTTTAAACCAATATAAACTTAATTAAAAGTGTATTACATGTACCATAATTTTGATTGGTATACATGGTTGTGTATGCTTATTTTTTTTTAATTAAGATATGTTTTTTGGTTGTTTTTTTTCTTAAAAAAACTTACTTAATTTTTAAAAAAAATCACATTTGTAACTACAAAGTAGGCGTATTAGTATTTGACATGAGTCGGGCACCGATCCGATAGCCAGGTAAACACAGCCGCCCGATTCATCGACCTGGTCGTTTGCTCGTCGCCCGGGGCACTCCACTTCAGAGGTGTACAAATACCGGTTATATCGCACAGAAAAAGCTATTCACCAATGTACGAAATTAACAAACATTAAAGGTCGAGTTTGTGATTTAAAATGGTCCTATTTATACTATCACCTACATATGTATTAACTCTCTGTGTCCGGCACTGGCCAGGCAAAACTCCCAGTCTTTCATCCAAGTGTCATTTACCAGATCATTTACCAGATCTGTTACAAAGGAGTTAGACCGCATTCGTTACACTTTTTAGTGTCTGTAATATTTTGTTACACGACATTGTAAAACTGCGCAAAATATAATATGAAAGCCTACAACTACAGTTATCTCCATTGCACGTGCGTACGAGTATTCTAGATTCGTTGTTCGTTGTGCAGTCTCAAAACTGTTTACATCTTATACTATAAATGTTATCTAACATAAATTATCAAATCTTTCACTTACCCATGTTTTGCAAAATTTGTCCAGTATGACGCCATTTGTGTTGAAAGAACGTTGTCAGGACCGTACAATTCATACCCAGAATTAAAAAGGTATGGAAGTTCAGCGGTATGCCTTGCTCCAACAAACCATTTTGGCAGAACACCTGGGGAGTACTTTGAGAAGAAATATTGAAATGTATTTGCTTTGGAATTTCCGCCTCTGTCATGAACTAACAGTGATTCCAACATGGGCACATTAAATCTCGTGTCACTAAAAAAATTCACAAGAAGTCGCCCTTGTTCTTCTATATCTGTCGAGATGTACTTGTTATAGATATGTGGTAGAATTCTAGTGTCATTGTTGAAATAAACTTCGGTCGCCGCCTCAGCCAAGAGTTTGAGAACCCAGCTTGGAACTCCTTCGGATACATTAACAGGCGGCAAGGACAGACTCGGAAACAATGGAAAGAAGACCAGAAATAAAGATCCTTCGGCTGAGGTGCAACCAGAAATGACGTCAAGCGACTGGTAAAATTTGAACTGTTCGGAAGATCGATTTTGAAGAAGAGAGAAAGGATGGCTTGTTATCATTTCTCCGTCGATGACCGGGGCATATGACATTGCATATCCAAAATATTTCCCCATTAACGGAAAAGACTGTGAAATTGAGACGCTATTCAAAACGGACGCCTCTTTTCCACGCAAACAGGAGACAAGCGATTCGGTATTTTGAATATCACTACATTGCAACTGGCCTCCCAACGCTCGTGCGAGTTTCACAGAATCATTTGGTATAGGTCTATTCGAACTCAATGAACCACTCTGCATAATAACTCGATGAAAAAGTCCTTCGTTTTCTGGGAATATGGCTAAATGGGAAATACTGAGAGCACCAGCTGATTCACCAAACAATGTGATTGAATCTGGATTTCCACCAAAGTACTTGATATTGGTTTTAATCCATTTCAGAGCTTCGATCTGATCCCAGAGTCCGTAGTTGCCTCTCGCGCTTGAATCTCCTGTACTGAAGAATCCAAACACACCTAGTCTGTAGTTCAGTGTCACCACGATGACGTCACCTTGGAGTGATAGGAATGATCCGTCGTACGACATCCCTGTACCAAATCTGAAACCCCCCCCATGAATCCAAACCATCACCGATTTATTTGCTGTCGTCGAAATCTCATTTGGAACAAAAACATTCAGAAAGAGGCAGTCCTCCGACACAGGAAAGACATTAGAACCCGGTTCCATTGTTTGAATGCATGCTGGTCCGTACTTCGTAGCGTTAAGCGTGTTATTCCACGGAGGTATCTTCATGGGTTTGCTAAACCGGAAGAGACCGATAGGTGGTTTGGCGTAAGGTATCTTTCTGAATTGATAAACGTCTCCATTCTGTGACGGAACAGCAACGCCTTCCATAGCTCCACTTTCTGTGGAAACAAGCGTCCCAGATACATTATCAATACCTAACGCAACCAAACTAAACACAAACGTTACACAAACCCGCTTAACGTACCCCATGTTATGTGAGTATGTGAGACAAGCCTGTCCAAACTGTGTAAGTTATAAAATTTCACAATTCGTCGCTTTGGCAGGTCAAAATGTAGTGCCTCCACTCAGGCGTTCACTCAGCATGTCCTCGGTAACACATACCTGAGCCCTTATTGTCGTTATACTGTTCAGTTTGTTAAGAGTCAATACAAACTCTTTACCTTGAGAGAGTTTTGTTAAGGGTATTTAAATGCAATCGTGTGGAGACAGTTTAAATTTAGAAAAAATACATTGAAAAAATGCCAGTGGTACGACATCGTCGTGTAATACCTAATCCTAGGATAGCATGCTCACCTATATGGTCTCTTTATACGCAATATAAGTAGTACATATAATAACCGAAGTGGCAGAAAGAACTCAGGAAGGGCGTGTTTGTCACCACATGTGGTACCCGTAGGCCCCTAAAGACTTACGACACGATAAACGATGGAGATCTGCAGTGTTGTCAACGTTACATCGTAAGAACTCGGCGTCAATTTTTACGTTACTCATTCCTGCGATCTTTAATGCAGGAATATTCGCATCGTATTTCTATAGGAAATGTAATAAATGGAAAATTTGATGATTTTTCTTCACATGAAAAATAAGCGATATCTTGTTATACAAAAATAATACAGGTGAAATTAATAAAGGATATTTAGCCAATCCAGATTGACCGTAGCCAATCTCTGAACGTTAAATTTGTGCAACACCAAAAAGATGGTAATCGAAATTGCCTAAATATGTGAGTATGTGAGACAAGCCTGTCCAATCTGTGTAAGTTATAAAATTTCACAATTCGTCGCTTTGGCAGGTCAAAATGTAGTGCCTCCACTCAGGCGATCCCTCAGTATGTCCTCGGTACACACATACCTGAGCCCTTATTGTCGTTATACTGTTCAGTTTGTTAAGAGTCAATACAAACTCTTTACCTTGAGAGAGTTTTGGTAAGGGTATTTAAATGCAATCGTGTGGAGAAAGTTTAAATTTAGAAAAAAGATGTAAATATTCTAGTGGTACGACACCGTCGTGTAATACATAATCCTAGGATAGCATGCTTACGTATATGGTATATAAGTAGTACATAGAAAACCGGGAATGACACAAAGTACTCAGGAGGGACGTGTTTGTCACCACATGGGTACCCGTAGGCCCCTAAAGACTTACGACATGATAAACGATGACGCTTTGCAGTACTAATGTTGTCAAACGTTACAGCGTTAGATCAAGTCGTCAATGTTTACGCTACTCATCCCTGTGATCTTTAATACAAGAATATTTGCATTGTATTTTTATAGGAAATGTAATCAATAGAAAATTAAATGGTTTTCTTCCCGTGAAAAAAACACGCCATATCATGTTATATAAAAAAAATCCAGGTGATATTAATTAAGGTTGTGTAGCCGATCCGGATTGACCTTATCCAATGTTTGCAACACCTTGTTAAAGTTTGGGATTCTGCTATGTTTTTATACGTGACAAAGCCGTTCCCCCTCAGGCTTGACTTGCCCCAATTTGTATACATTGTAAAAAACGGACCAAATCCATCATATTTAAGGGGTGATGCTAATAACACGCTTTTCCTTTAATCACTGCCAATCAGCCGTACCGTGACTATCAATCTGGATTGGCCGTAGTCAACGAAAGTGATCTGAGTGTCAATAAAGACCAGGAATCGAACCCTGAACAAAGGGATGTTATACTGTCATTCTAACTGATGGAGTTACCCGGTCAACGAAACTTGTTTGCCCCAAACGCGCTACAGTAACATCGAGAATGAAATCAAAGGGAGGTTACTCTACATGTATATGTAACGCACCAAGGTTTTGGGGCGTTGCGTTCCGTCTAATTCACCGACCAGCGAGAATCCTTAAAATTATACCGGCCGCTACCGGAAATAATCAAGGGGGCTTCTGGGATAGAGCACTTTTGTTCCCGACTTCAGCCAGGTAAGCAGCACTTTTTCAGCTGTCTAAATCCAATGATTTAATTACTCTATGTCGCCCATCCTTCCAGAATCCGGGGTTGTAAACATTAACTGAACATTTATTGTTAGGTCCTCGGTAGTATTTTTGTACTATGGCGTTAGTTTAATAGGGAAATAGCGAGGGGAACTTAGAGATATTTTTGCGGGAGACATGCCGGTCGTCATACCGTTTGAAGGAGAGATGTTATGCATTCTCCGCCCTTTATGTTCTGGACATGCCGTGGTTGTGTCTATGAGCGGTAGGCTCCTCTAGCCCACATGAAGGCGTGTGGCGGAATGTAGAAGGGTTAACGGAAAAGCTATTGAGCGGAAGTGATAGCCGCATGTCCTCGTGCACGTGTTTGAGTTAT